CCCGAGAGTTGTGCAAGGCTGACGCCGTTTGGACGCGCTCACTTTTGGCTGCCGGCGGTGCCTGGATCACTAGAACAGCTGAAAACTTTTACACAGGACTCAGCTGACGTCCTGATTACGGATATGACATTCATTCTTGGTACTGGCGCTAATGGACACTACTCCTGGGCTCAGCCTTAGCAGAGCGCAGGTAATCGTAGTGTCATCCATTAGCGCCAGCGCCAAGAATGAATGTCATATTCGTAATCAGGATGTTAAATTACCCCTGTATATACAAGTTTTCAGCGGATTTGGTGATCTAGGCACTTCATAAATGGGTCGGCAGCCAAGAGTGAGCGCGTTCAAACGGCATCAGTAGTCGTGCAGTGGACGTGCCACTTGCAACGCCGCGTCACGGCTACACATATCTCTCTACCCACACCTGGATTTCCTGTATTATAATATTTTTTATTTTATTTAGAGAAGTGTGTGAGCTCCCTTAGAGTTAGAAGCCACAGTAAACGATGTTGGTTTTAGTTGGTTCGTTTCTGGAAGGTTTTGTCTAATTAAGCGTCATTCCACTTACTGCGATATCGACACCTCTGTGGCGCTAAGCGGCGCAATATCAACGGCAGCTCCTTCACTGTAGATTGGATCGAATCCATTAGTCCATGCGAACATGTCGATCTGCACTGCTGCATCCTCGATTTCTGACGACAGGTCGTTCACTACCGTCACTCCCAAGTCATTCAGACCTGAGGTGTACTGCAATGATAAATCACATAATGGTCGTGCTAAATTCATGACACTTTTTTTATTTACGAGTCTTATCAAGCGCTGCGTCTTTCATAGATTTCACGTAAGATAAGAAACCAGCAGCTGTTCTTAATGGCGATAATTGGTGGATCTCTTTTTGAGTCCCTTGACATTTATCAAGCTCGAAGCCGGATGACCAGCATTTTGTCGTGCCAACCGCTCCGTTGCACGTACGCAATCACTGCTCATCTTTCAACTTTTTATCCCTTCAAAATGGTTAATGATTTCTTGAACTATTATCATGGCCCTGCTGTGAAAAGCTGTCCGAAAGGCTTTCCGTGCCGGCTGCCGTGCACTCTGATAGCGTGTATGATTGTCAGCACGGAAAGGTACGAAAGATACCGCTAATCCCGTAGTAGGCTTCTTTTCAAAGTGAATGTACGCCGGGTGGACGCGTCGCTTATCTGTGTGGAACGTCGGAACGTGTGAAGTCTGGTGGTGATAGGATGTCAAATGAACAAGCTCGATGCAAAGAAAGACAGAAAGATATTGAGTTGAAGTTGTTGGTAGATCTCAAAGGCTCAGCCGGACAACAGGGGGAGGAAATGTCTCGAGGTTCCTATAAAGAACT